GACAGTCAGGCAGTTGGACTAGATGATCGTTGTAGGCCCCTTTCAACTGAAAAGACTTTATTTTCTATTATTTTCTTTTCTCTGTTCTATTCTATTCTTGCAGCCTCTGCCGTGGCAAGCAAGAGGGCAAACCGTGCTTGCAACACACAAGTCACCCTACAGTCAGTGAGAGAACAGCCACGCTTCAGTCCGGGATATATTTAAAGCCACAGTTTTTACATGCATTTTTACATACATTTAAAACCACAATAAAGCCATATAGGAGAAGAACCACAAGAAAAATAATCAAAAACAAGTGAACCAAATGTCAGGCACTTTTTGTACGGGCCAGCAGCGAGCCTACCCGCGCTGAGGCAGGTGCTGAAACCTGTGCAGCCGCGGCAGCTGTCGTCCCTTCCCTTCAACATCAGTTCTGAGAAGCCAAAAGCACAAGTCGACTGTTTCCCTTGGTGCAATTGTGTTTACTTAAAAAGAACACGGTTGTTCCTTTTACCTTGAACACAGCAGGGACAAACACCGCCAGGAACATTGCTTACTCACGATTTCTCAGCCTACCTTTCCAGGCAGAGCTATAGTTCCAGGAGATTTCTGTCTCTGCTCACTCAGCAGGGCCACCCTCCAAAATCTTGCCCCTTTGTCACACGCGGGGGGGGGCTCCCTGCCAGGGACCGAGCACGCTGGGGGCAGAGGGCTGCGGCGGGTCGGGGATGGGGTTTCACTGACCACCAGGCAAGGATGTCACGAATGGCAGCTGAGTGTGCTGGAATATTATTTTTAGATCGTAAGTAAATATTTAACTTAAGAAGTGGTCCATGTGCTCTGGGAAATTGTTTCATCGTGAGACAGTTTACAATTGCGCAGGTGCAGACCTTGCCACATGTGCCCCAAAATACTTTGCCACAAAAGATGGAGAAGGGGGAGACATGGAAATGCTGCATTTAACAGACCAAGCCACCAGCGACCTCTGCCCACGGGAGCGCGCTGGCTCAGGGCCATACGCACGCTCCCGCCTTGCCGCAGGGTCACTCACGTGATGACAGCTGTCTGTCCATCCGTCCATCCACCATTCTGCCAAATCCCGCCTTTCCCTCCAGCACCGCTGAATACTTGCTCCCCGATGAAGCCCCTGTCCAGTCATGCCCTGCGAGTCGCAGAGCGCCTGCGGATGGGCTCAGCCCGCTGCAGAGCCGGAATTCGTGGGGCCAAGACGCCGCTGTGCCGAAGCGAGACCAAGGTCCCTCCTCCTCCTCATCCCCTTGGGGCTGGGGATTGCAAGTCCGTGTTGGAACCACTGGAAAACGATAGAGCAGGGTGAGGACTTGTGCCATTCCTTCCCTATCAGCTGCGCTCCCTTTGCAAGCAGGTGATTTTTGTGCCCACTCATCCCACGGACTCATCTGGGCTCGACGCACAAGCTGTTCCTTCTCCTTCGTGCATCAACAACAATAATATGGGCCCCGTGCGTGCCAAATTAGTCTCTTAACGATGGCTGGGTAACTGCCCTGGCTTCAGCCCATCCGCACTCGTGCGGCTGCGTGGCTCATGGCACACAGGCAGGGCAGAGCCAGTGCTCCCTCCCAGCTCTGTGCCTCCTGGGGCTCCGGCAGGGAAGGCGTTTCTGTCGGGGAGCAAGGGATGCGAAAGGCAGGCGTGGGGCAGGGGAACCTCGTTTCCCTCCACCAAACAAGTGCGCACCCAGGGAAGCAGGCAAAGGCGAACCCGTGGGAAGCCTAAACCGCGATCTCACCTCCCCCAAAGCGTTTACAGCTGCCATTTGCAAGTAGCAAACCTTTCTATTGCATTCTCTAAATCAAGTAATGCTAATTGGACAAAACTGTAAAGATCTGCATGACAATCACTGAATTAACTGCAATGTGCCTGAAACATTGAGCTTTACGCTGAAAAATAGAGCAATTGCACTGAGTGACTTAGGCAGTTCAAGGCTGCAGGAGGAAGATGTACGTGCAGCCCCAAGGAAGCTTTTCTCTGTGTACCTCATGGTGCAATCTGGTGCACTCTAAAAGGAAAAAGAGGCTCCAGATCCTTATTCTTCAGGAGTGCTGTGGAGCATCAGTAATAAGTCATCTTTGGCAGGCATATGTTAACAGCATCCAGGGAGGGGAGAACTTCATCAGAGCAGAGAAATCATTCCAGCCTGACTTTGGTACAACTCCAGCAAGTCTGAAATACCCATAAGGGCTCTGCTCCCATCCCTCCTCAGATCTATCCTGACCCTGTCTTGGCCAAGATACCCAGTTTACACTTTTCTGTACCACTGATTTGTAGTGCTTATTTGCTTTCAGATGGTGTTTTGCAATTTTAAGGGTTTGGACGTGTATTTGCCCAGCAAAAGGCTGCCTCAGTTACAGCAATTACCTTCCCTGCCCTGTTAGCGAAACAGGACCTCGTTACTGCCTGGATGCTATGCTGCAAGCGGCCACACACAATATGTTTTTAACTAGGGCTGCAGCTTTGAATGGATGGCACTTGTGCTTTGATTTTTCTTTCATTTATTTTTAGTGCTTATTAACCGGCTAAATGGGTAAGAAGAAAACCATCATGCACGAAGGGTAAAGGCATCTGGAAGGAGGGGGCCTTGCAAATCTCTTTGAAAGAAGCCAAAGCCATCGTTAAGTACCAGTCCAAAAGATGGGGGGTGCCATGGCAGCAAGAGGGGGGGGGAGCAGGAGCAGGGTGGTGAGCCTGGCAGCCTCATCCCCCGGCCTCGCAGGACACCTCACAGCCCCAGACGCAGAAGAGCCGCCTGTCACAGTCAAGCACCTGGCCGACATGGGGATTTTGTGCTGATCTGGGTCTAACTCTGGATTGCAGTTGCCCAGTGTCACAAGCCCGGCACTCAGCCCAGGACCCGGAGGTGCAGGCATGGCCAGTGACCAGCTGCTGAACCAGGGGCACGGCGGGCACCCGCTCCCCTGGGGGAGGCAACCCAGGCTGCTCGGCCATCCCTGGCCGGGTGCAGAGGGGTGGTCAGGCCGGGGTCCTGGGCGCAGGAGCCCACCAGCACCCCGAGGACGCCTGGCCCCCAGCCCACATCTGAACAGTTCAGTCTGCAAAGTGCATGGCTGGCCAGGCCCTGCCGTGTTTGCGTGGCTCCGATGACAAAAGTTGTCAAAACTGGAAAACCAAAATAATAAAAACCTCTGCAGGCAATTAAGGCTGCCCAGAGGCTGTAATGAGCGCACTGGCTGCTTCTGCAGACTCTTCGTGTTTCTCTGCAGTTTGCTGCTAGGACGAGCATTTGCCATAACAGTCGGGGGGCCTGCGGTGGCGATCACATAAATCACAGCAAAGTGGTCCGAGACGGCAGCAGATCAAAAGCATCAGCTGACAAAATCTGCACTGAAATCAGACGTGTTTATTGGTTCAGTTCACCATGGTAATTAATTACCTAGCACTTATCTAATTAACCAGAGCTTTCATCTACCATTCCCAGAGGCCAATAGCAAATGCCAGATCCCGCCCCTCCAGCCTCTGCCTAAAATATCTTACAGGGCAACGCAACGTCTCGCGTCGTGTCAGGACAGGCAGCAGGACCAGTATCTCCAGTCTTCTCCCGATCCTGAAGCACAGGACGCTCGTGCACATCTGTCTCAAACAGCAGCTTGCTGCTGACGAGACAAACCTGGGAAGCGCCGAGGCGGAGACCCAGCGCCCGCAGCCTCGCTCGGCGTCCTGCGGCTCACGCTGCGAGCAGGGGGGGACCCAGCCTGGCCGAAGCAGTGCTGCCCTTCGGTCTGAGCCGTGAGCAGGGGCTGTGCTGGCTGCTCCCCAGGCCCCGTCCAGCACCCCAGGACCTGCCCCATCTCCCATCGCACGCTCCGCGGCCCCGGGGGCAGCAGGCAGCGGGGTGTGCCATCAGCCTCTCCAGGCCAGGACTGGTCACTTCAGGATCTGCTTCTGGGCGGCGGTAGCTGATCCCCGTCTGTCGCCGTACCTGGGCACCGCTGTGGTACTCGGCAGTGCTGCCTTCTGGGGAGCTTAGCCAGCGAGAGAAACAAACCTACCGCACGTCACTTTTTTGTGTTAAGAGCCACGAGGGTAAAAACGGGGATAGGTGGGAATGGGCACATCCGCCTCTCGATGCTTATCTCAGTTTTCTGGGCCACCCGGGACGACCACAACAGCTCAAAAGGCGTCCCAGCCGCCGTTGACCCCACGCTCAGACAGGCTGCCCGGGGCTGGGGAGCCAAGCGTGCCGAGCCCAAGCCCTGGAGCCCGTCCCCCCCTCCGAGCCGTGTCCCCCCCGAGCACCCTGGCAGGCTGACGCCACGCGGACGCCCGCGGCCCCTGAGCGCCGGGTGCGAGGCAGCTGCTCTGGGGCTGCCGCGGCTGGGAGCCATGGTGCCGAGCCGGGGGGCTGCGGCACAGCCGCCCCTTCGCAGAGCCTGCGGAGGTTCACCACGGCATTAACTCTTTCTTCTGCACCTGAGAGAAACGCAGAGCAGTTTCAAATTTGCACCGGACAGGGCCAAAGGCACGGCCTGAAGCCGGCACGTGGGGCAGGAGCGGCGTTTCGATCCCCAGGGCCCAGAGCCCGGGCGAGGAGCGCCGTGGCGGCGAACTCGGACAAGCCCTCGGCACGAAGCCGTCGCCGGAGACGGCGGGCACGTGTGCCGACCCTGCCGGCCAGAGGGCGAGCGGACCTCACCGGCCCCGGCCCTCGCCGCCTGATCGCGGTGGCGGAAGGCGAGTCAAGGCTCTCGGTGCCACAGCTGCCAAAACAGCCAGCGTGGGACCAGCCACGGCGCCAGCCCTGGGGAGGAACCTCTGGCACCCGACGGGGCAAAGGAGAGCGGGCGGAGGGGGAGACCGCCGCTGTTGATCTTGGGAGCCGCACAAAGCCAGAGAGGGTATTTAACCCCCTGCAGAGCCCCTCAAAACCTCTTCTGAGCTCCAAAACCCAACAGCTGAAGAAATAGTCGGGTGTTTTCTTTACTGTTTCTGCGGAGTATCACTTTCAGCTGACTGGTAGAGCCGCTATGACCAAAACAACAGATTACTCTGGGTGAGTAACAGGGGAGGGTTCCAATTTGTTTTAATAAGACAAGAAAAATGATCTCTGCGTTTTGTTTAAGCCTTATTTATAAAATTGACTTGTATTGTTACTTAGTTGCTTTCCGTCTATTAGAGCAGGTGGAAAGGAAAGGCAAACTGGCCCCCTGCTGTCTGCAGAATCTGCATTTAATTTGCACTTGTACTGCTAGGCAGTTATTTGGGACAATATAAATATAAAATCCTGATTTGCTAAGAGCTTAATAAGCTGTCACATACAAAATAGCTAAGTACATTACCCGCTAGATATTTCTGGCAGAATTATATGAAAGAAAGAGATAAGGTTGCCATTGACAAAATTGATGATAAATACTGAGAAACATTTTTTGCTGAATACGTTGACATAATAAAGAGATGTCGAAAAGGTTACCAACAGCGGTGGATGTAAGGAGGAGGACAGCTCATGTGACAGCAGGGCTCTGACAGAAAGGCAGCCACCCCGGACACCACGCAGAGCTGGCTCGTCCCTGTCCCATCCCTTCCCTGACACCAGGGCTGTGCGTGCCCTTCGCAGGGCTCCCAGGCCACCCCATACTCCGTCCTGCCCCGTCCCTGTTCCTGCAGGCACTGCCCAGTGCCCTTGACCCATCTTCACCTCGTCTCCCCGCAGCAGTGGGCTTGTCCACTTTAAAAACCCGCATTTGGACTTGATGGAAGAGAACGTTCTGTATCATTTGGACTTGGGAACGAAGATGCACAACCTGCCAGCTATGTTTGGGGACATAAAGATAAATAGCAGGTAAAAAAGCAAGGCAGCAGGTCCCAGCCCCGCAGGGCTCTCCAGCCCCTCGTCCCACAGCTCTGCCGTCCCATGCCGGGGTCCCACTGCTGCGGGCGCTCCCGCTGGGGACAGGGTCCAGCTGCTTGGCAAAGGGACTCAGTGACCCAGGGCAGGCTGGGCAGGGAGGTCATCTATCCTTGCTTGTTTTTGGGCAGAAGTCCCAATAGCAAATTATCCTTCTAAAACCCTGTAGTTCCGTAAAACCTGATTTTATATTGGTCCCATGTTGGAGGACAGACAGAGGAAGCATTTGTCCAAAGCATCTGATCATCATCTACTGGAGACAACGGAAAGAGGATGTTGTATTTTTGGCAGAGACCTGCTGTCAAAACCAGCCCGTCATGACTGCATCCTCTTCCATTTTTAACTGGAGAATTTCCCCAGCAGTGCAGGGGAAGAGCCGCGGTGCCCCAGGGCTGAAGCAGCCTGGCACAGCCCTGCCACGCGTGGGCTCCTGCTCCGCTGCGCTGCTGGCAGCCGGATCAGCAGCACTGCCCTTGCAGCTGCTTGTGGGTCCCCCTCCTACGTTCGGGGAGCATTTTTTTCCTTTAATATGTAAAATTTGTCCTTTTTCCTCCCTGACTTTACGGCCCCTGTGTCATCAGCAGTGCTCATTAATTGCAGTCAGCACTGTTGATAGAATAAATTAAACGATGAGCTACTCTAACATCTGGTTTTGCTTTGCTGTCAGTAGGAATACTAACAGCTTAAATTTGCTGAATTAGTTTAGATTTTCTTGGCCTGGGACTGATACCCAAGTATGTGCAGCTGTACAGCTGTCTGGACCTAGCATAGTCACAACCCTAAAGGAGTAACAGCTTGGTTTTACTGTTAACTCCTGTTTTTGAGACCCTTGGTTGTTCTGATGTCCCTTGACTGCCTGCGAGGAAGCAGCATCCCGCTGCGCTCTCTGGGGAGACCTGTCTGGCACAGCCCGCCACTGCCACATTAAGACTGAATCTTGGCACCAATTTTAGCTAAAATGTACCAACACATACCTATTTCACATCCAGCTTGTCTGCGTTGGCAGCAGCCCAAACAGGATGAGGGCATTTGCCCAGTTCATGCACAAGCAGCTGGGACTGGTGGGCGAGACGGGGAGGACCTGGCAGACATCCGCGCAGGGATGGACCGGTGCTCTCCATCAGCGTAAGTACTGTGCCGTGCTGGACCGCACCGCACAAGTTTTCCATCCCAGGCACTCATGGCAGCCCCTGCCCCGGGGTCTGCTGCTGCCGCTGTGGTCCCAAGTGGGCTGGCACGGGGGACCCATCTCCTCCAGCAGCAGGGAGGGCGGCTGGCATGACCTCTCCCTCCTGCAACACCCACCGGCAGGTTTTTTTCCTCTTTTCACTTTTCAGCCATTACCACCAGTGCAACCTTTTAGCCATGGTAAAGCTGCTTCTGTTTGAATGGTATTTCTCAGCACCCTACATGTTCAGTTTTAGAAGCATTGTATTAAAAATGAACATGCATGTGTTTTGCTCAGCTCAGCAGCCTGGCAATTTGAGAGGCAAAGACCACTTCCCACCATGCATGAACTATGAAATATTGCTGGAAGTATTACATTGACATGAGCTCTAAAGTAAAAACCTTGCTTTATTATTAATTATTCTTTAAAAGCACAGTTTTTGGCACTGCACAAAGGAAAAAAAAATACAGGCTGTGCTGGTGAGTGCTCATACCCAAAGGCTTGGTCCTGCTGTCATTTCTTCAGGCACAAGATTAATCTTAAATCTGATTCAGAGGAGACAGTGTCACTCACACAACAGAGATCACGTTTGGTCCCTCTGACAAAACCAACCCAAATCTGACTGATTGAAAAGCCCGAGGGAATCAATTCTGCCAGGATCCAAGGGGAAAGAAACCCACAAGTTTTGCTATTCCCCAGTCTGGCAGCAGTTATGACACAGCTAGAAGAAAAGCTTACGCTGAGCTCTTGGCCATGCACCAGTTTTGTGCCAATGCAGAAGCCATCGACCCCCAGGCTCATCCCTGCGAGGGGACGCAGGGCAGAGCATGCAGCGAGCCTCCCCCAAAATGCTGCGTGCAGAGAAGCTGCCAACATCACATTTTTGCAAGTTGCTTAGAAACACAAATGAACTCAAACATACCGGAGGCAGGAACACAGTTTCCTGCTTTGAATATTTACAATGAGAATAAATTTTTTAGGCATTTGGCAAATAAGTCAGGCTGATGTTCCAGAATAACAACATGCAAAAAGTTTTCATATTTAAAACATGATACAAGCCTAATAGACCATCAGTCTCACAGCCAAATGAAAAGAGACAAAGCAAAAGAGAACTGACTGCGTATGTTAAATTAACTATGCTTCTTTACACACGCTTCCTTCAGGTTTTTGAACACGATAGCAAAACCAAAAAAAGTGAGGCGTTTTTCGTGGGAAAAAACAAACCCCACACCACCAGACACCTTTTGTTTTTTAAAGGTAAAGCCGAGAAAAAGGCGTCGGTTGAGTGATGGAGCAGAAAACTAAGAGGATCATGTGAGGGAGCGCTGGGCAGAAAGCAGAGGCAGCCTCGGTAGCTCGAGATTTGCAACACATCTGCCAGCCCAGAGGAGCGGCAGCGGAGACAGGGCAGTGGGCTACCACGAGCCGCGGCAGAGGACGGGGAACGGGCCAGCACCAGCGAAGGGGAGAGCCTGCGGGCAGCCAGGCAGGCGCTGGGGACGGAGGGACACCGGGGTGGGCAACGCGAGCCAGGAGGCAGGACAGGCGCCCTGCACGGCGCGAGGCTCCATGCGGCAAACGCCTGACCCCGAAACCGGTCCTCGCCGAGGGGCACGAACGCATCCATTGTCCTTCGTGCCCAGCGACGCAGGAGGAGGTGCTCCGGCGTGGGGCGAGGAGGGGCTGGGAGGCACCCAGAGGAGCGGAGGCTCTGGTTATCCTCACTGAAATTCGCCACTCCAAGAGTACGAGCAGGACATGACAAAGAATGGAAGTCAGCATGTGGCGTAAGGACGGGCAAAACAAGGGGAAGGTCTTGGAGCATTCAGCCATCAGGATGCGTTTGTGGAAAGACCTTTCTTGAAGGAGAGACCCCATCTCCTGGGGGCTGACGTACTGGTCCCCAGGGATGAATGCCAGCTCTATCAATAAGAAGAGCCTTAAAAGCATCAAGGGGAGGAGAAGAGGGTTAGATGCTTTACCTGGTCAGGCTACAGAGAGACCCTGAGATGTCTCCCCCCCTCAAAAAATCGCTGTTGGCCTCATCAGCAGAAAGAGGCCACAATGTAACCCTGAGCTCGTTGCAGTCACGTACCTGTCACCTGCCGCAGCATCACAGGGAATGACACTTTTCTCTCCTCCCAACAGCACAGGATGGGCATCCCTTCCATTTCCATCATGCTTCAGGAGGAACTAATCAAACTGCTGCACCATGCAAAATGCCGAGACGTTACTATTATACGCATCGGTACTTCTGGAGGCTTAGGTAAGCTGTCCGTGGTCTTTCTTCAGAGCCAAAAAGCTATTAATAAAAAAAATCTCAGCAATAGGTCATGCAATTATGAGCTTTAGCATTTTGTCAGGTCCCCAAATATCAAACAACATGATATTTTGGTTTGGGTTAAAACCCAGCAAACTTCTAGCGACTGGCTTAGCAGAGCACACTTTTTCACAATGGACAAAGGCTTTGAATTTACAACAAGTGGGTATCACTTTTCAAAGAGAAAACACTTGACTGGAAGTCACTTTCATGCTTTGAGATCCTCCCGGCTGTCCTGGTGCCTGTAGTCCTCTGCACTCGTCGGAGCCCCAGCCGGGGCAGTGGTGCTGCTTGTGCCTGCACAAGCTGGTGGTGGGGAACAATCTCTGCAAGCCAAAAGCAAGTAAAACACTGTTGCTCGGCATGTTCCCACAGTCACTCGTCATGTGCTGATTCTGTACATTTTACTTGTACATCTGTGCTACTGCATGAATTTCAATTATTCTCTCACATCTGTTTTACTCACTAAAAAGAACAACCCCACAGTCACACATATATCTACAGAGATTCTCCTGTCATGCTAGAAGTTTTGCAGCAGGTCACAAATGTTACAAGCTCTGGCTTAGCCTCAGCCCTCCTTTTCACAGGGGTCGAGGCCGGGTCTGTTGTGATCACAAACATGGCAGTGGACGACTCCTTCCAGCCACGGTTTGAGCTGGTGGTGCTGGGTGATGTGGTGGTGCGGAGCACTGAGCTGGACAAGGACCTCGTAGGGGAACTACTTGCCTGCAGCAAGGAGATCCCTGACCTTCCCACGCTCGTTGGCCATACTATGTGCACCTACGACTTCTACAAAGGTAAAACGATCTTTGACTGTCCTTCCTCCCCCCAAACATAATGCCAAGTCTTTACATTCTTATGTGGGCAAAACTATCCATGCTACCAAAGCCTAAGAAGAGCTGCAGGAGCAGACCCACCTGATACGTTAGAGCTTGTTCAGTGGTCAGAGCAGGGTACTCGTCCAGAACACACGATACCAGTTTTGGCACTTTGCCAGGGCGAGTCCTCCTCTGCTAATTGGTCTCTTGTTCATCTGACAGTTAAATTTGGTAACATCACCTGCAAGGCCAGCGCTGCTGTAGCTGATGGTGGATCAAGAGTGAAGATCCACCCAGCAGCGGTTGCTCCCTGGGGGAATGCAGATGCCCGGGGGACCTCTGCTGCTCCCCCGGTCCAGCCGTCACACGGGAGCCATGCGCGGCCGCAGACCCTCCGAAAGCAGGAGGTCAGTAGCTGCACCCTGCCAACGAAAACAGCCCCTCACCCACAATCCTGTAGTAAGCCTGGCAGATGGGTTACGCTGAGTTGTTTCCTACAACAAGATTGTAACTTCCGAACTACCAAACACTAGAAAAATGTCAGGAAGCATGTGACATTTACGTAAACAAACTTTGGTTACTCTGGAACAGTTTCCTTTGCAAAATTAAATGCTGATTGCAGAGTAGATGAAATGTAATAAATGAAGAATTAATAATCTGAGGACTATTTATAAACCTTTGGATCTGCTCGCAAATGCGACCATCTGTGTATTGCTCAAGGCCATGTTTTATTTAAACAAAAAGCCATTTGTGGGGATTAACAGTAGGAACATCAATAAAATGAAGCACTCTGCCCAGGTTAGCGCAGCCGCAGGTATACATTTTGCTTGCATCGAGGACTTTACATACTGTGCGAGAGGAGCGGCTGCACCGGGCACGGGTCTGCTCTGCGGACCCAGGTGTGGCTGCAGGACAGCCAAAGCCACCAGTGGAGTTAGAGGAGAAGGTCGGGATGGGTGCCCGCGCCCGGACGCACCGAGCACGGCATCAGGTCCTGCCTGCAGCGATGCCCCGGGGCTGAGGCGAGAGCGGGAGGGAGCACCAGTGCCCCAGGACCCAGCTCCCCGGCCAGCACCAATGCCACCTGAGCAGGGAACGCCACTCGCAAGCCACCCCAGCTGCCTGCCATCCATGGCAGCCCCCTAAGAAAAATTAAACCTCAGTTAAGGGTGTTTTCCTCTCCCCAGTTTTCCCGTTCTGCACAGCTGGCTATGCCTCTTCCGCAGCAATCTGGCATTCTTTTGATTTAAGCTGGCAGACCTTCACAGCTGATGTACGCTATGGACCTCAGAGGAGCTGCAATGACTTGCCCCTGCAGAATGCGATATACCGCCTGTACTTAACACCTGTGGGCTTACTCATCCTTTTTACAAATGTTAAAACCTGCATGATTTTCTCCTCTAAACAGAGACATAGCACACTGGCTTTAAACACTGAGGTTAATATGAGTTAAGTAATCATTCAAAGGAAAACTTAGTCAGCTTCAGACAAAACGTAGCCACTGCTGGACTTTCCATTTGAAACTACACCCCGTTCACCACCACTGTAAACTCACACAGGACCAGCAGTGACACTTCTCTGCTTCTTTTCAAGGTCAGGGGAGATTAGATGGAGCATTGTGCTCTTTTTCCAGTGAAAAAAAGCTAGAGTACTTAAAAAGAGCTTATGACGCCGGCATGAGGAACATTGAAACAGAGTCCTCAGTGTTTGCTGCCCTGTGCGGGCTGTGTGGCCTGAAAGGTGAGTCCTCCCGCGGCCGCTTCCACGTCCTTCCCGCACCCCCGTGCTCCCCAGCTTCACCTCGCCTGAGGGTTCAGTTGGTGCGAGATTCAGACAACCTGAAGGCCAAAAACGCATTCCTAACGATTTTAACTAGAGAAGTACACCGAAACAAATTTTGTGGCTCAATAAAAAACAAGTTTGTTTTAGAAGGCCTGAGTGCGTGTGGCACAAAACTAAACTTAATCCCCCCCTCATCCCTCCCCTGGCCTTAAAACAAGTCCTGGCCAAACTGGTGTAGCTGCCTTCCTCTCTTTTGCTGGAAAAGAAACAGGGCGAGTGGAGGGCACCTGCAGGGCGGTGCTGCAGCCAGCACCTCCCGCGGGGGTCCTGCTGCTTCGGCCCCTCCAGAGCATCGAGGCAGGTCCCCCCGTGAGCCCCGGGGAGGGCAGCGGGAGCAGGACCTCCTCACCTTCCCCGCAGGGCAGTACTTTAAGGCCTGGGTACATGAGGTCGTCTGCACAGCACTCCTGGACTGCCTGGAGGGGGACCAGATCTGGGGAGTACCAGCAGCGGCCCCAGTGCCTCATCGCAGCCTTCGTCCGAAAGCACCTGGGGCTGAGCTCTCCGGCGGGAAACACGCTTTTCTCCACAAACTGATGGGCGATGCAGCATGAGCAACGGGGTGCCGGGTCCCAGCTGGCGCAGTGTGGGTCTGTGCTCCCGCACCAGGACCTACGCCCGCCGGCACACCGTGGCCCTTTTTTCCTGGGAAATGGAAAAGACAGACCCGGTCACGATGCGCTCCCACAGGCGAGCACCCTCCACAGCTGAGTGGGGCGGCCGGATCCAATGAACACCATCGTGCAGGAGCTGGAGACCTCCAATATGGCTTGAATTGCACCAACACACTTCTACACCCAAGGAGAGCTCCAGCCAAAATTTGCACAGAAGTTAAGACTGTATTACTGAACTGCACGCTCCTCACTCCCATCTCCAGTAGTTGTCAAGGACTGTCCCATTAGGGTCACTCCTGTCCACGGTGATGCTCTAGGGAGGAGATCCCTTTGCACTTGGCATAAAACCAAAACCTAAGTAAATGACATGCAAAATTAATCCACGTTTGTGACCGTTATTGTTATTCATTGCTGTCACAAAGGCCATTCAGACTTTCATTCATACCATGTTTAAAGATCTGGCAAAAACCGACGCCTACCAGTGTTTGAACACAAGAGGTTGGCGTGCGGGAAGCCCACCTTGTGCAGCCTGACCCAGCTGAGCAGGAGCAGCTTTGCCCCCGTCGCTCGGTTGGCAGGTTTGGGCGTGGGGCACACGGGAACCCTCAGGAGGGAAAGGGATGGGGAGCACACGTTACTGATACAACCTTGACCTGATTTCACATAACTGCCAGGGACGGCATCTTTCACATTCATCTGCTAATCATCACACATCAATGATCGAGAAAATCATCTTTAAGTGCCTCCACAAGCTGTAAGAGACTAAACTGCGCCTGGGTTGAGTGGAGAGGTTTTTTGGAGGGTCACCTACAGCCTGAAGAATTTCTCACCAAAATCACTTCCAGTTCTTAAGGTTCACTAATAAGCTTGCTTCAAAATGAATTTTGACACCTTTGGAACAATAACTTACAGGATTTAAGAGTTCTGGTAGACAAAATTTTAACGTATCAAAAAACATGGGAGAGGATCTTAAGATATTAATGATACTAAGAGCACGAAACATCTAAGTCTAAAGATGCTTACAGACATGCCGAGGGGCTATATCCGAGGTACTTGTTCTCTGGCCAGCATCCTAAAATCTGCTTCATCAGCAGCCTCTGGGCCCCTCTAGTCCTGGAAATACTTCCACACGCTCAGGTACAGCTTGATTTGCCTCCCAAATGTGGGGGTTTCTCTTGGAGTCCCTCTTGTCACCCCACTGCACGTTGTCATGCCACCTCCTCCCATCCACAGAGGTCCGTTTCTGGGGCGTGGGGCCAGCGGCAGAGCGGGGCCGTCTGGGGTGCTCCCCAGTGGGCTCCCCTGGCGCTGGGACCCCACTTTCACGGTGCCCCTGAGCTACTCCAACAACTTGCCAGCACTTTGATCTGGGATACATTCAGTTTGCTGCCATGAAAAAGCAAACTCCACTTTTTACAAGAAAAGGAGATCTGTTCCTAGTTTCCATTCCAAGATTGCAGTTTTTAGAGCTCAAATATTAATCTGACAGGGTAGGAATCCCAGGACAGGAGGCCAGTGTCCTCCCAGAACGGAAACAAAATCACTCCAGTCACTTAACATGCAATCTAACCTACCATTCAAACTCAGTTCTGTTAAGTCCAAAGTCCACTTAAGAAAATTCTATACTAATAGCAATGTACCTTAAGACCTTTGTGAAAATAATTTCAAACCACTCCAGGAAAAGAAATACGATGCTTTAACATTTTCCCTAATTTGATAGGTGAGGTTTGCTCTGCCATAGCTTACGGAAACACAGTCCTGGTCATTAACTTTGCAGGAGATAGTGAACTCTACTTTCCAGAACATTGTCCACTGAAGAGACTCTTGTTTTTCTTATTTTGCTTTTACCTTAATGATTATCTTGTTAAATGGTTTTTCTGCCGTACATTCTAAGTTTGATACTCTTTGAAGGTGTCAGATGAGTCAGCAGTTTACAGAGCTCAGAATGCATGTCCTTGGTGAGCTCCTTTTCAAAATATTGACCATTACTGCAAAACCCTCACTATTCTCAGAGGGATCAGAACTGGCATCGCAATCACTCACATTTTTCTTTTTCTATAAATACACACACAAATGTGCACATAAACTTATGTGCACGTAAGTTGGCACATACTTCAAGTGTTTTACAACAGCTGGATACCACACCAACTGATCTTATACCAGTTGGGTACTTGACTTTCAGGCACTATTTAACATTTAAGCCACTTTTCTCACTACCAAAATTCACAGATAAGTAGTATATCTTGAAACTGAATAACTTATTTTTCACAAAAAAGTTTTTCTCAGGCTTTAAAAAAATCAGATTGTTAGTCAAACTGCATACACTTCATACACTGGCATAAAGGATAGCTGAATTCTGAACTGTTACTCTTACCGAGTCAAAACCAACAAAGTAGGGCTGCAAGAGATGCTGGTTGAGAAGTCCCATTAACATTTGCTAAATTAATATTTTTACGTGCAAGTAATTTCATACATCTTTGTACAAAAACAACTTGCAAAATTTCATTAAAAAAAAAAAAGTGTAGAAAGCATTTATCATGCTTATAAGGACTTTTTTTTTTTAAAAAAATCTCCATTTCCTGAAGGGTTCTGATCATCTCTCGTGAACAATGCTAAGGTGAGGATGACAAAGTAAGCCAAAACATCCACCTCCTTCCCCCAGGAGCATGGAAGAGGGGTGCTTGGCCAGGCCAGGGAAAGTGGCCGAGGCAGTCTGCAGGAGCTCTCCTGGCAAGAGCAGCCTCTGGTTATGCTGAGCAAAATACGTGAAGCCAGTTTGACTGACCTGCACATTTTCCATGCTCCACTGTTACATGAAAATCCCTCTAAAAATCCTCGTTCTGGCCTCACCATATCAATAACAAGCTCCAATTCATGGTTGCAGTGACCTGGCACAGACTCATCACGGTAAGTGGACTTCTACTCAGTCTATTCCCTGAGAAACAACAGACATGAAGACAATCACAAGACACTGCCTAAAAATCAGTGCCCTTTATTTCCAAGACAAATGTCTCCATCTAAACTTTCTTTTTTCATAAATGTCTTGGTATTTATAACAGATGACAAGACAACTCTAACCTGAAAAGATTTTGCATCACTGAAATTATCTTGTAGACCTGCTTTTAAAGACAAGTTAAAAAAAAAAAAAAAATCAGCTGTCTTAAGTTTGGGATCTTCCATTTCTGGGAAGCAGTCTAGTGGCCAGTCTGGTCTCCAAAACAGAACAAAAGCAATGCTGGTTTCCCCTGCAGGAAGATCCAACAAGTTGTGAAGCTGGCCAAGTGTGTTTTAAAAATAATGAGTTACCACAAATGAGATACCAAAATAAAATGCACAAATATACACAGAATTGTAATTTTAGCACAAAGATGCAAAAGCTAAATCCAGAAGATACACAGCTCCCGCGGCTTTTGGGCAGTCTCTGTAGCATTTCTCCCCACCTTAAAAATAACTTAGCTTCAATACTCAGATGATGTTGCTTCTGGTCTTAAACTTTGCTTGCTCTCGAGAGTCTGTCGCACCAGCTCTTCTCCTGCCTTTCTGGCACCCTTCTTAGAGTCTCCGTCTGCTTCTGACTTTGCACCATGCACACCCAGGCCAGAGCAAACCTCCCTCCCCCAGGTGCTCGGAGACACCTGCTGGGATCAGGCTTATGCTACAAGATTTTGCCAATGTTACTATCAGTTTGAGGTGTGAAAACTTCACATTTCTTGTCTCTGATTGCAAAACATTTGGTGTAGAGTTGCTGAATATGTCAAGAGAAGAGGGCCTGTTGTCTGTGCCAGGTAAGGAGGTGGCATATAGTGGCTAGCAGTAAAACTGCTCTCTTGGTGTTTGCTGGACCTGCACCGTAGGCTCCTCTGGGAGGACACAGACAGGGCCCCCTGGTCCCCAATTTCTCATTTCGACAGTGAAGAATTACTGTCTGTTTCACAAGGCATTGTAAGTATGTGATCCCTTAACACCTATAAGGCATTACAATACTACATTAATGAAGTTACTATAGTTATCTAGATAAACAACTATGGATGTTCAAATCTTTCTGATACTCATCATCCTTAGAAATTTTTGGTTAAACTGCTAATTGTAATTTGTTTACATACATTTTACACTTACCTTATGTAAGGCTTGAAAACATAATGAGTTACAAAATGAAGTGACATCAATTTCCCTTTCATTTAATACAATCATAGTCAGTAGTTTCAGCTCCAAAATAAAGATCCCAGATCTGACACGTTATTTCTAATTTATAATTTATACTGAAAGACTAATCTGCAATATGAAATTGCAGACTGGTTTGCAGTAAATATGATGTAGCAAATTGGTTTCTAAATATAGACAAAGGTTAAGTTTCTTCTTATAATAATCAAGGAATAATAGAAACATTCATGATAATGAAGATTTTATAATTAAAAGAATCAAATTCTCAAGAAACCTGGAATGAAAGTTGTGGGATGTATTCATGCATCATAATATAATCTAAAGTGACTGTTCTGCAAAGCTGTTTTGGATTTATGCTGCCAATTAAAAAACAGAGTTTCTACTCAAGATGCTAGATATCAGATTGGCCTGTAATGTCTGTAGGAGACTTTCATGCACAGGTGTCCTATCTCCCAGTAGAAAGGGACATGGGAAATTATACTACAACAGCCTAAACCCACCAAACCTCTATAAAACCTTCACCAAGGCAAGTGTAAAATGGTGTAGCACTGCATGAGAAAGGCACATTGTTTTTTTGAATGACTGCATACACTGAGAGCTAAGTAGTTCTATGACACAGCCTAAGGGAATTTATTTAAAGATTTCACATTATAGGCCAGACGATACCCCTGAAGCTTCTCTACTCCTGATATGAGAGGTGCTCTACATTTTAAAAGCTGTAGATTCCATATCTCTTCTTGGAAGCTTCAGTGGGGGAATTTT